CTACCTAGTGATCCTGTGTAAAATAATAATTGTGTCCTTGTGCATGAGCCCTGATTGTTTGAAATGTTATTCGCCTGGAAAACTGTTCTTCACCTGGAAAATGAAATTGACTGCAGCCAAAACAATGAACAAAAGCAAAAATGACACCTATGATGCAGCTTGTCACTGGGATAGAGCTATTTTTATCTGGTGACACTTATTTCCTGTTAATCTGATACAGTATTCACCCCCCCACCCCTTACTGCTGTAAGCAACGAGGATTTTGTCATTTCCGGTTTCAGTGCTGTTATCCATGGCTGTACAACACGATCTGTGTTTCATCAGATGCCTTGAAAGGCTGGGGAGATATCAGGGAGGTACCATCACTACTGAAAGCTATCACAAGGGTCTTGTTCACCCCTTATGGCAATAAACTTTAATGTGCTTTTGTTTTTGTTTTTTTTTTACACTTTTTTCATTTAAATAAAAAAAAATACTGAAAAAAAAAAAATTAACCCCCTCATGCTCATACATAAATCCACGTAGGTCAGGTATGCAAATGGTGATTACGTCACACATGTGAATTATAGCTGTAAATGTCGGAATGAGAGCAATAATTTTAGCACCTTAGCTCACGTTCAGCTCTAAACTAACCTGTAAAGGCTTTTTAAAGCATCGCCTATGGACAATTTTAGGCACCATAGTTTGTCGCCATTTGACATGCATGCACAATTTTTAGATCTTGGCATGTCTAGCATCTATTTATTTCATGCAACATTATATTTTATCAAAAATTGTGTATTGTTTTGTAAGCACTAACACTTTATTTTTTCCTGAAACTTTACAATTGATAAAATAATAAAATGGTATGCAGCGCTAAATAGTAAAGCAAACATCCATATAACAAGAGTGACAGTAAATGGATAAGACGGTGTAAACCATCAATCAAACATAAATAGTTCCATAAAAGGTAAAGGTGAAAGATCGACAGTGCCACAGTGGAAATAAATATATTACAAATCCAGTCAGGCTTGTGGAAGAATCCGGTAAATTAATGCGCTTACCACAAAAAGCCATACAAACTGAGCATTGTATAATGGTGGACATCAGGGCCTGGTCAGCAAACAGGACTGTATCCAGTCACCATGTAAGACCCCCAGGAATGGTGAGAAACACTCTCCAGGGTCATCTCAGGTTTCGCCGGCAGGTCCAATGAAGTCCTCTCCCAATAATACTCCTCCAGATGGCTCCACCTTGATGGGGCTCGCAAATAACGAGCCAAGCGTAAAATGGCAATAATGGTGAAGTAGGTCTTTATTGGGTAAACAGCAAAATGGTATATTAGGGAACTCACAAATAGAAGGCAATGCCCAGGTCAAACAGAGAAGTTCCCTGGTGGTTAGTGGCTCCCTGGTGGTTTAATGGCGTCTGACGGATTCTTCCACAAGCCTGACTGGATTTGTAATATATTTATTTCCACTGTGGCACTGTTGATCTTTCATCTTTACCTTTTATGGAACTATTTATGTTTGATGCTTTACACCGTCTTATCCATTTACTGTCACTCTGGTTATATGGATGTTTGCTTTACTATTTAGCGCTGCTTACCATTTTATTATTTTTTCTTTTGGTGTTGAGGATTGCCTTGTGTGCTAGCTGCTATTTTGAGATTGCGCTCACTCACCCTATATTTTTTTTTTACATTTGATAAACCGTTGCACAAATATCATGTGACATAAAAATTGCAACAGCCAGTCCCTTACGGCAGTGTTTTTCAACCTTTTTTGTGCAAAGGCACACTTTTTTCATGAAAAAAATCACGAGGCACACCACCATTAGAAAATGTTAAAAAAATTTACCTCTGTGCCTATATTGACTATATATAAAGTAATTCTCTTGAATAGGAATCAAACACAAAGAAATTATTTTATAATTACTTTATTATGAAATAATAAAGTATTTTATAATTGGACCCGGGGGGCCGGACCAAGAGTAGATGAATGATGTGTATGTGTCATCCATAGTAAGTATAGTAATATTCCCCCATAGTAAGCATAGTAATTAATCCCCCATATAGTAATTCATCCTCCATATAGTAATTCATCCCCCATAGTAATTCATCCCTCATATAGTATTTCATCCCCCCATATAGTATTTCATCCCCCCATATAGTATTTCATCCCCCCATATAGTATTTCATCCCTCATATAGTAATTCATCCCTCATATAGTATTTCATCCCTCATATAGTATTTCATCCCTCATATAGTATTTCATCCCCCATATAGTATTTCATCCCCCCATATAGTATTTCATCCCCTCATATAGTATTTCATCCCTCATATAGTATTTCATCCCCCCATATAGTATTTCATCCCTCATACAGTAATTCATCCCTCATATAGTAATTCATCCCCCATATAGTATTTCATCCCTCATATAGTATTTCATCCCCCCATATAGTATTTCATCCCTCATATAGTAATTCATCCCCCCATATAGTATTTCATCCCCCCATATAGTATTTCATCCCCCCATATAGTATTTCATCCCTCATATAGTAATTCATCCCTGATATAGTAATTCATCCCCCATATAGTATTTCATCCCCCCATATAGTATTTCATCCCTCATAAAGTAATTCATCCCCTCATATAGTATTTCATCCCCCACAGTACTATTCCCCCCCCCCCTTCTAGTAAGCCAAGTCCCCCCGTGTCAATTCACTTACCTTTTGCGTTCCTCTCGCTGTCTTCCCCCGCGCCGTTCGGGTCTTCAGGGCGGACTGTGAGAGGAGCCTAGCTCCCCTCCCCTCACGTTCGGCACGCTGCCCCCGCCTACACACATCCTGACAGCCACATCCGCAAGCCGGATTAAAAGGTCCGCGCGGACTTTTGGGGCTGCCAACCGAGAGGAGGCAGGGGAGCTTTTTTTTTTTTATTGGCCGCCGACCGAGAGGAGGGAGGGGAGCAGGCGCCCGGCACACAGAAGAGCCGCATTAGACTGGGTAAAGAGCCGCATGTGGCTCGCGAGCCGCGGCTTGCCGACCACTGAATCATTAGATTCTAATGATTGGTCTATTTGTGAGCCGAAGCCACATGTTACAGATGAAATTGGAATTTTTCCCACGGCACACCAGACAATATCTCACGGCACACTAGTGTGCCGCGGCACAGTGGTTGAAAAACGCTGCCTTACGGCACCCCTCACCAATAACCTTGACACAGACAATAAGGTTTGGGAGCTTTGGCATTCTACTGAGGACCTGTGATCGATTTCTATGGAGGTTTTCTGGTCCCTCCTAGCTGGAAGGAGCGAGTAGCTTCCGGAGAGTGGAGAGTCCTAGATCTCTCTCTTACTACCTTTCTTTTTCTTCTTCTCTGTTCTTCATTGTTAATAAGACATTGCTTCTAGTACTCTGCCTTTGGTGTAGACAGTCATATTGTTTGTTAATGACTGCTTGTAGAGAGGAGTTATTTGGTTAATTGTAACATTTTTGGTCCAGGGTTGCATCCTTTACATTGAAGTTTCTCCATACACTGCTGATATGACTACTGACCGTTAGACACTGTTATACTGTTTGTCCGCCTGTGTGCAGCTATTTACAGAGATTTTGATGTATTTTGTACAAGATGCTTCTTATGAAATTTAATAAGAATTATTTATTAAAACAAAATTTCAACAGCCACCATTTTATTCTCCAGGGCCGCTGCTTTCAGAAAATTATGTTTGGGGGTTCTAGGTAATTTTTGCAGGTTTTTAACATGTATGCAGGTTTTACTTGCAAAAATAAATTTCCTTGGTAGGCAAGTGGTTAAAGGCCAACTGTACCTTTTTAGAAAAAGATGTTTGAAACCCAGAGTGCTGCAAATCCTATTATAAACGTTTATTTGAGTAAGAAATCTACAGCAGTTTCAGTCCTGTGACCAAACCCTGGTGTGTAAACTGCTTTGTGAAAGCAATGGCCTCTGCAGATTCCATACCCCCTGCCCACTCAACTAGGGAGCCTGAAGCTTTGCCATTTGGAGAGCTCTAGCTGTTAGTGTGGAATAAAGGACATGGGGGGAGGGGAAGCGTTTGCCCCTTAGCACAGAAATCTAGCTACAACTTATTTCCTAGTCACAGGACCAAGATCAAAACAAACCTTAATGCCCAAGCCCAATTTTGCAGCTTTGGCATTCATTAGTAGAACTATACATATCACAATTACTACTTGGTGGATTATTTCTTGTTTTTAAAGACAAATTGGGCTTTCATTTGGTGGTGAATGGTAATGTTTTTCCTTCTTCTTTCCCCCCCCCCCCCCCCCCAAACTTTAGCCTTATATTTTTATATCATCACCAGTACCCACCACCTAAAGGCCTGCAAAAAAAAATTATCTTGCTATTGACAATTGCGACAATACCGTTTATTTGATTTGTTCTTTTGTACCTGTAGTAGGACCCAGAAACAATTGGTGCATATTTTTGTTTTTTCATAAAATGTTTTCTTCAATAGATGCAATGTATAATTTCCCTTTTCAGGGTCCCAATCATTAGGCAACCTGGGGCTAGCAACGACAGGCTGGGATTATGCAATCAAGCGCCCTTACAGCACAAATAGAAGAACATATATATGTGGCTCTCAGGATTAAAGCCCACTTCCTGGATGCACATTTGAGTGTTACGCAGTCGTAAAGATATTAAACTGATTCATATTATACATTTATAACAGGAAGCCTTTCTTCTGATTTGCAAGTACTCTGGGTTTTACTTTTTACCACTTGAACCTTTCAAAAACCGTTCTGATAATACATTATGGTATCTAGGTCCACAAAGGCATATCTGTATTTGTCATAGTTCAGTCTTTCTTTATTGTGATGGTTGGGTGTATGCTTGTCTTGGAACAAAGATGTCTTCATTCATCTAGTATGATTTTCTATATAACATTTAGCATTGTATATCGTTTTAGCACAGTCCTTTTCGTGGAAATTTTTTTTTTTTTTTTTTTTCCATTGATTTTGTGGTTCATTTTATTTTTTAGGATTTGCGGAAGGCTGCAGTTCTCATCTTTGCAAACAAGCAGGATATGAAGGGGTGCATGTCGGCAGCAGACATTTCTAAATACCTCACCCTTAGCTCCATAAAAGATCATCCATGGCATATTCAGTCCTGCTGCGCCCTCACAGGAGAAGGGTATGTACATTGTAGTGCTCTCTGCATATTAACAGGACTTTGTTTATATCATAACAATTATGGTGCTTTGCTGATGCACCTACCTGCACCAGCCCGCTGTGGATTCTGGCTCACCAAATGGTCTGTCCTTCACTGCAAGCTTAATTCCACAAGAAATAGGAGCTGCTTTCCCCAATAAAAGGCTTTAAGATTTAGGCCTTTGCACACTGAGCTTTTTCAGGTGCTCCTAGGGACGTTTAGCGTGCGTGTGTTTTTGTTTTTTTAATTCCCTGCCTCTTAACACCCCTGCATGTTAGCCAATGTGTCCATGTACATATAGGCTTTTAGAGGCAGAAAAAAAAAAAACACACTGCTAGTGCACCCAGGAGCAGCAGAGTTTTGGCAGAAAAAAACGCATTATGATGCTTGTAAATTCGTGTTCACACTTGGCACCTTTAATCGCAATTAGTTTCAGTGGCCAGAATAAATATTCTGGCCAAAAAAAAATGAATGCATTGAGGTGCTTAATGCCTTAAAACACGCCTAAATGTATTACACACTTTAATTGCCTCCCTCCCGCCATATAAGGAAATGGGGGGTGGTGGCTCTCTTGTTCTGAGAGGATGTCATACGTCGTCCTACCACTCTAATTGCACATGCGTGCCCCCAGGGGCGCTGTGCGGTGACGCTGGAACACAGCTGATCACCGATCACACTAAAGAGCTGATGACGTTGGCTCTGTCATGTGATCAGCTTTGTCCAATCACAGCTGATCTCATGTAAACAAGGAAATGCTGGTTATCGGCAGTCCTCTCCTCACGCTGACAGCATGTGAGGAGAGCTGGTAATTGGTATTCCTCAGAGGGGACATCTACACTGATCATCAGGGCACTGATGATCAATGTAGCCTCATCATTGCCACCTGTCAGTGCCCATCAATGCCACATACAAGTGCACCTCAAAGCCACGTATCAGTGCCTACCAGTGCACAGCAATGACACATATCAGAGCTGCCTTTCAGTGCCGCCTATCAGTGCCAGTCAGTGATACCTGTCAGTGCCCATCACTGCAGCCTCATTAGCGTACATCAGTGAAGGATAAAACTTTTTATTTCAAAATATTAATTTTTTTTTTTTTTTTTTTTTTTTTAGTTTAGCAAAAATAAAAAACCCAGAGGTGATTAATTACCACCAAAAGAAAGCTCTCTGTCAAAAAAAAGATAAAAATTTTGTTTGGGTGCAGCGTTGCATGACCACACAATTGTCATTCAAAGTGCAACAGCTCTGAAAGCTGAAAATTGGGCTGGGCAGGAAGGGGGTAAAATTGCCTGGTAGGCAAGTGTTTAAAAGGCGTCAGGTGGTTTTTTTATCCAAAACACTGCTGCCAGGGGGAAAGGCTTTTAGGGGAGTTTGCAAAACATCCTGTGTGCATGACACCTTACTGGTGCATCGAATGCGCGGCAGACCACCTGTACTCCATTATGGCTTTTTCTTGTGCAATCAAGCTGGAAGCAGAGGAAGAACTTTGTTTAGTTGCATCTAAAATGCCAGACGATATTATTTATACTTTTAAATTAGGCTGAAATGGGTTTACTTTGAATGATGGAGATTTCTCCCCAGTTTCTTCTTCAGTCTGGATTCATAATTTGGAAATCTCCAGGTGAAGTTACTTCTTTTTCTGAACCTGTAAGTAAGAGCCCAACCTCTTCAGACATTTTGAGGTGTAGGCCTCAGGGCTGTCATGTTCAGCAAATCTGTACCACCTAGTCTGACCTTTTAAAGTTTTCATACTCATAGGTTGCAGGCATATTTCATGTCACTCATTAAAGTGTTTCTAAAGGCTAATGTTGGTTTACCCTAATGCATTCTCTGCATTAAGGTAAAAAAATAAAAACCTGTGTACATCTCCCGCCAGCCACCCCTTATACGTGAGCTTTTTCCCTCCTCATAGGCTCAGAGACAGCAGCACGAGCCCTTGGCTCCTGCTGCTGTCAATCACAGCCAGAGAGCAGGGGGTGAGGCCAAGCCAAGCTCTGTGTATCAATGGGATTGAGCCAGCATGAGTGCCTCCATAGAAAGCGACTTGTTTTGTGGGCACTTGGCAAGGCACTCTTGGGATTCATGCATCTTTGCCACAATGCAGATCTTTGCTATTACTGCCTGATTCAACTTGGCTACTTCATAACCCCCCTTGCCCATTACACAGAAGCCTATGATATTGATATAAGCTGTTGGGAGGTGACCACAGGAAGCTGCATTACCAATCCAGGAAGTAATTGTTACTTTTACCAGCTTTGATTCGTACTCCCCATTAGACTGGCTGCATGTCTGGGGAAGGCAGTGGTCTAGTGGACTAGCTATTATAGGCCATTTCATCTCCATTTTCAAATTGGTGCATGTTCCAGATTCAATGTTTGGTATGGAACGCCTCGGCTGGAGTGCTCCAAATTGCTTATTAGAGACTCTTCAGAAAATGCCCCGACTATACTTGCATCATGTATTCATACAGCTGAGAGTAAACAGGTCTGCATATTAGCCTGTGGCATCTTCAAATCTGTAAATCCTAAAGGAGGCCTGTCTGCTGGTATACCACAGTGTGACGATTGGCATCTAGATTTTGTGGCTAAGGTTCTGTGTTTATGAATGTAATTTATTACGTGGTACAATTTTTTTTTTTTTTTTTTTACTGAAGTGAGAACTCATCAGATTTACTACTGGACTTTTTTTTTTTTCCACCCTCAGCCCTATGTACATAAAGGCTGTATGTTTTCCTTGCGTTTTGTGTGCATTTCCTCCCTGAAATTAAATACAACTGCCCTTTGTGTGCAGGTGACTCCTAAAGCAGATATTTAATAAGGGTGGGGACAGATGCAATGTATACGTGGCTAGTGTTCGCACATGAAATTGTATTCTGCTTTTAAGGAAATTTTGTCGGCAAAAAAACACTGCTGCACACATAACGTATATGTACTTGCTGTAGCTTCCAAAATTCTGCAGTTAAGACCAAATGCTGACTCTTTGTTCAGAAACGCTCTGACACTTCCTGACAGTGCTAAAATGTGATTTTACCTTTTCATCTCCTGCGTTTGCTTGTTGGCCTATAGGGCAGCCTTTCATACTGATGGGACAACAGGATTGTGTGAAATGGGCATTCGAGGCAAGATCCAACACTACTTTACAGCGTATCGTTCAAAAGTTGAACTCAATACATTTTCCATATTCTATTTCAATTATTTCTAGCCTACTTCTATTAATCTGAACTATTTTTTAAGTTTGTAAACTTACTAAGATTTCCACACATTTTTACTTCTAGGAATTCTGTGACACGTAGTCACTATGCCCTGTGAGTGGGTATTGCTGTGTCACACATTTCACAGTCTGCCTTCTGATCTACAGAGGTGCTGAGGAGAGGAGTTTGAGGAGAAGTCAGTACAGGAATCGCTGCTTGCAGGCAGCAAGGTACCATGGGATATGTAGTCCTTAGAGAAGGAAAGGAAACAGGAGAAGCTGCAAAACATGCAGGGAATCCAGGAAGTTGTGGAAAGAGATGGCCAGCAGACAGTCAGAACTCACAACATGAGTGGATATTTTTCAAATGAGCTTATATTGGATAGTCAAATAATGATTTTGTATTGTTCCCATGTTGATCTAAAATAAGTGTATGCTTTGACCACAGAACTCCTTTAAGAGTGGAGGATTAACAGGTGTTCTGTAAAAAAAGGCAATAGCTGAGGAATGTAGTATTACATTTTATTCAGTCTTCCTTTTTTTTTTTTTCTTTTTTTTATGGTGCAGCGAAAAAAAAACGGTATGCACCACACTGGAATTAATTTGACAGGTATTGAACTTTGATTAAAAAAAAAATTTAAAACGAGATAAGGAAGTGGTGAGGTTTCTATTTAGGAAGCTCAAACACTTCCCTGGAAGTCTGTGTTTGAATGGCTCAATATAGCATTTTGCTTTATGGATTGTGGCTCATCTGATCAAACTTTGCTCTAGAAAAGTTTGCCACCCAATTCCCACTTTCCACTGTAAACTACAAAATGATACAATGTAAATATGTTGCATACCTTCAGTAAAAATGTATTGAAACAGTGGCTCGATGTTTAGTCATAACCTGAGGACATTTGGAACTACTACAGGTCTGTGTAGGAACTTCTGAGCCTAATTTCAGCCAATTCCTGCTGAACCTTCCAAAATCAAACTGTTGTTAGCCCTGCAAGCACCTCCCACCTAAACAAGTCGACTGGGCCAGGTGAAAAATGTATCTTCCAAACCGTGATCGCATCCTTCTTTCAGATAGTCACTGTTTAGCATAGCAGCACCATTGTATTTAGTCAGCCACCTGTGCTTTGATTATCTTACCCACACTCTTACCCTAGGTTCACATATGTGCGGGTGGTGTCGCTGCGGATCCGCACAAAAATTCGTGCAGCTGCACTACCCACACAGAGGAATGCGGACCCGCAGGCAGGTGCCATTAGTTCCAATGGCACACCGCCCGCACTGGGAAACACAACCGTACTGGGATCCGAGGTTCCAAAGTGCAGGGACTTCTCTGCGTGTCACGGGCATGGGAGTCTATTCAAATGAATGGGCTCTTGTGCCCGTGCAAACACGGCCCGCACGGCCGCATATATGTGAACCAGGGGCTAAAGTGCAGGAGCTGGGAATCTATTGCTTTTATCTCATTCAGCCTGTGACTGTCTCTTAGGGCAAATGCAGTGTGTGGTGATGTGTTTTTTTTTTTTTTTTTTTTTTTTTTTTGCCAGCAGTTACAACTCTGTAGATAATTTTGTCTCCAGAATTGTCCTCCCATTTTTTTTCTCTTTTTTTTTTCTTCTCTGCAGCTTATGTCAAGGCCTGGAGTGGATGACGTGCCGAACTGGAGTGAGATAATTTCTTGCCAGCATTTGGAAGGAGGACACTATTTATTCTACGGACAATTATTTTCCTACACTACATCATCACCATACTTTATTTATACAAACCGTTTCTATTTGTCTGAGCCACACTTGAATCAAGTGATGCTAAAACAGGAGAGTATCTGAAAACTGTTTTGGACACACCAGACAACCTCACTAAAGAACAGTTTTCATATAGTATCAGTCCATTTGTACATGCTGAGCATTAGGTTATGCTGCTGTTGTCTTCAAATTGGCAAGTTGCCTTTTATGGTTCTTTCAATTGTGAAAGCAAG